CATAGGGGCTCTAGTTCATATACAGCAAGCTAAGTAGAATTTTGTTGCGTGAAGACTAAATGTTGACTGATCAAAGTCACATCTAATTCTTCTTGCTGTGAGGTACCACCCAGTAGGTTCTGACCCATCCTGACCCTCTGTCAGACACAACAAAGCATTGCCCAGTCCTGCGCGATCCTCACAGTTGCTAGGGTCGAGCCCATTGTTGCAGCTACTGTGTCAAGCCATCTCATTGAGGGTCTTCCTCTTTATCACTGACCCTCTGCTTTACCAAGCACGATGTCCTTCTCCAGAGACTGGTCCCTTCTGATAATACATCTAAAGAACATGAGACAATGGTTTTGCCATCTTTGCTTTTAAGGAAGACTCCAGCTGTACATGTTTTAAGACTCATTTGTTTTTCTGGCAGTCCTTGATGTTTTCATTTCATGCTCAGAATGGTTCTCCGTGCTCATACGATTTGAATGGTGAACTTAGGTATCTGTATGGAATTTTCTCTCTCTTTTTAATTGAAGAAAATTGTATAGAATCATTCCGTTTCCCATGTTCCAGTTAGATGGAATCTAAAAAAATCAGAAGCTGTATCTAAGTGCACACACACATGCACACTGCTCTAGAGATCCCAGCATACAGTAGCTGGAGTTCTCAGCCCTCCTGTTAACCTCCTCACTGCTCAGCTCCTAATCTCTCGGATCCATTCAGCTCCTATCCCAATTTAGGAATCTAAGATCCAAATCCCTGTAGATGAACCTTGCCCACCAGCATCTCTGTTTCTCTATTTCCCTCCGAGACAGTCTTATGGGTCTCACTCACACAGAGTTCCTGAATCCAAGCTGGGTCCTGTGGATCTGATGAATTACCGTGAAGACCCAGAAAGCAACTTGATTAACCTCCCACCATGCATTGGAAACTTCCTCAGTGCAGTAAGGTCTTCCCTTGCCTATAGATGAAAATCAGGTTTTCTGGATACTTTTAGATTAAAAAGTAATGCTCACTTTATATTATGAAGTACACACTAAGTCAGTAACTGAAAATGTCAAAGTGTGATAACACTCAACCCTGAACTTGATTTAGAGGGAAATCTTCTCCCAGAACTACAGGTAGGCAGGAAGCTGGCAGGGGCCTGGCATGGTCTCACCTTGGCTGCTCTTGGACCTGACTCCTTTCCCTTTTCCACCTGGACCCACCACCCACCACCCTCACTTGTCTTTCTGCTCCTCTAACCTGCCAAGACTCCTTCTGCCACCTGGGTCCCTCTTCCCCTAAACGCTGGAGACTGGTCTGTCCCATCCCCAGGGCTGTTCTGCACGCAGC